TCACGGAGAAAGTGGAATGAACCTGGACACTGAATCGCGCCAAGTGCATTCGGACTTGAATGAGGAAGGTGATGGCGGGGAGATGAGTAAGGCGCAGCGGGAAAAGAGTAACTCGCACGAATTTCAACGGGATCAGGCGGGAGAAGAGGCTGGGTAGGGGTTTTGAACGAAGGCGAATCCAGATCTACTGTTAGTTTTGGCGATGGGTTAGTAGGATGAAAGGTAGTTGAGAGAAGGGGTACGCGGAGCTATGGAGGAGAGTGAAGGAGTAGAAGAGTGAAATCAAGGTAACCCAACCATTTCATGACCGATTTTGACGATTTAAAGTGCTAGATCGAGATTTCTGAGGCGGGCGAAACCAGCTCGAACGTTAGTTTTAGTGTTAGAATGACAGGTTAGGAGTTAGTAAGAAGAAACGTCGCGCAGGAGATGGTGGAAACGTGAAAGAAGAGATATGAGGGAGAGTTGGACCCACCCGTTTCTCAACGAGATCAGGCGGGGAATGAAGAGTTTCAGGGGCTTTAAGGTCAGGCGATCCTGTATTTGAGGGTAGATCTAGCGGTGTAGTAGTTTTGGATTGTGTGTAGTGCGGTGGTATGTATGATTGAACCTGACCGTGATGCTGGCCAGGTACTTTCACCATTAAGAACGATCACGCATGAGACAGGTGCGGATCCGATAGAGGCGTAGTACCACTCGTACCCCCCTATGCTACATCGAACGAGAAACGCTCTCGGCTGGTCCACCTCTGCGATTGCATCTGATCAACTTTCGTATTGTGGACTGGTAGCTCGGCAGGTATACGCCCACCGAAGAGAGGTGACAACTCCCGTAAGGTGGAGGTAAGTCGTACCTCGCGTAGGCCCTATCCTGTCGTAGGGGCTTGCGAGAGGTATGGCTGGCGCACTCGGTCGGAGCGGCTTGCGGAAGCTTCATGTATGTATCGCGACGAGGATTAGGATCCAACTCCTGCGTGACGCGGTCCCGCGCTACCCTTGAGTAGTGCCGGGCCGATGCGCTCGACAGGTGGCGCCGTTGCAGGGGATAACGGTTGCCTGTCGTTGTCCCTGGTGGAACGACATCCGGGTATTAGAGTAAGGAGAAATCAGGCACGAATGAGAAAATCTGAGTAAACCTATAAGTAGGGATGTATGAGGTTTGCATGATTATGTGGATGGCTAAGATTATTATGTGAGAAGACTCATGATGGAAATAGGCATTATTGAAGTAAGTCCTAGAATGAAAAGAATAATAGTGTCAGCCGAGTCGGGAATGTTTAGGGACTAAGCGATTAGTCCAATAGGGTGGTGATGAACTAAGATGCTGAGTGAAGTTTTGGCTCTTACCCTTTCTTATAACAGGAAAGTTAAGCGAAAGACAGGCGGCCAGAATGTCGGAGGAAAGGCGAGAGAACAGGCCTCAAAGATTTGATACGCCTGAGTATGTGTCTGAGATGGGTGATCTGAGAAGTAGGCTGGGATCTTGGGCTACTGGGTCTGGTTCTGGGGAGCGAGCTCCTGAGACTAAGCAGCAGGAGGTCGTCAGCACCTTGGTGGGATCCCCATCATCACCTCTGCCGCAGTCAAGGAAAAAGAAGTTCAAGAGGAAGGTTGATCAGCTCTGCTTCTTTTACAAGAAGGGCATACATTGGGCCCTCGAGTGCCCTAAGTTCCTCAAGGACAAGACATAAGGGAAGGTCTCAGAGAATGTAGGGAAGATGTATGATAGACAGGGCCGAGTGGTGGAAAGGTCTGTTGACGGAGGTAGAGCACAGTTATATAGGCAGAACCAGGAGGAGATGAGTGAGTGGGGACTGGTTTACCTAAGTATAGATAACTCTTTGGATATTGTAGATAGAGTTGAATGTTATATATAAAACTGGATACTTGGCTGTGTGATTACTTTTGCCTTATTTTTATCAGATGCTGAGCACTTACGCTCGAGGGTGTACATATAAGGGACTACAACGTACGACTCCCATTTGAGTATCGGCGTATATATGTTTTGGCTTGGACTATCAAAGTCAATAAAAAGTCCCATTACATTTGTTGATAAGGTGATTGACCATGTACTATATTACGAGTGACTTGGGTAGACCCAAGCGAGTCGTAAACCTGGACCATAATGTGTGTTTTTAAAGTGAGATAATTCATCCTGAGTGTGTGTTTGAGTCAAGTACTACCTGGAACTATTCTTTGTATATGACGATCATAATCACTCTTACACGTGTGGTTTTATCCTGATGTATGATGATTTTTGGGTGAGAGGTGTATTGGAAACGTCTCACATGTTTTGTGTTTTGTAAAAGTGAATGAATGTGAACTATCTACTCTTCGGTATACTCGTGCGACCTGCCCACAGGCGGGTGATTGGGGCGGGTATAACGAGAGGAAGCACAGTCTGTTTTAGTGAAAGTGTGAGAATCCTAAGAGATTTGTGAGTCCTTGATACTCGAATGCTTGTCATGCCAAATGTTTATCGTTGAGTTGTGACGAGGACCCATAAGTTGGTCTCTCAGTTTGAGTTGTTTTATGATAGGGCCGCCTTTTATGAGAAGACAGTCCTTTGCTTGTTGAAAGACTCATTTTTCAAAAGGGGAGAGGTTTTAATAAGAGGTTGTATGGAAGTTCATCCTAGAGAGAGACGGATGGCTGGGAGACCTATTTAGTGAGACCTCCTTCATATGAACGGTGGTTAATAGATTTCATGGCATGGAAAGTTGAGTTTGAATGATAAAGTCTGACGAGAAGAACCATATTGTTGCTTGGCCATTGTTGAAAGTTCTTAAGAGGTCGCAAATGGGTTCATTCGGGAGATGTCAATGGGATGTGTGACTTTCTTGCTCTGATCAAGTAGGGCAGTCACGGCCTTGTGAGTCTAGCAGTGATTTTATTTTGTGAATGTGGAGAGGGTGCCATGTTTCTCTGTGTTGTCCCACAGAGGACTGGTAAATACCCTTTATGTGCGACAGACCTCTGCGTAGTCCCGCAGTAGGCCTGTATTGTTGCGACACACCGTCCAACCACTCGTGCTAATCTTCGGGCATTTATGATAATACCAAGCTAACGGTAAAGTTTAGCATCACTAGGGCGCAACCCCTAGTGCCGGCTGCTGGTCGACGTAACCTGAACAACGGGTCTACGTCGTGCCAAGGGAGTAAAGACGTAAAGGGGTGTGGCCCCCTAGAAGGGTTTTGCTCCTGCAGACTGGCGTGGGATAGAAGTCGAGTCGAGTCTTGTTGAGTCCTGATTGAATGCTTATCAGGAGAGAAAGTCTATCGCGGCGCAACCCGCGAGGGCACTATCGCTGAATTAATAACCGCGGTGGGTCGTAGACCTGGCATGATCACCCAGACTACGGTGGGCCAAGATGGAGACCTAGCCTGCCTGTACTAGACTGCAGGAGGTATATTGAGGGATTGCTGAAAGAAGGCGAAAGTGTCTTCTAAGGTCTCGGTTACGGTCTGCGTCCTTGGTCATAGTCCTGCTCGCAGGGTAAAGACCAAGGATACTTAACGAGAAGCCGGCGGTTGTCTAGGACGAAGGGGAGAGGATGGGTGAGAGGGGCCGCAGAGACTTATGCTGTCGTACGTATGTCCATTACACCGACATCCTAGTGTCAGGGCAATGGAGACCCAGGTTGGAACCCTGGCAGCATATAGTTATAAGGGTTTGGATTATTGAAGGCCTCAACCCTGAGTCTGTCGGCTAATCGGATTGGTTCTCTTCTCGTCAACATTTGGAGTCTTGGAAGGATTTATAGCTTTTTTATTTTGCGAAGCGACGGGGACGTCGCTTAATATGGTCTGGTAAGCTGTCGGTGCGAATACCCTGACAAGGGTATCCGCCCTGGGTTTTACAAGTGACAGGAAGGGAGTTTAAGAGTCTAAGTGTACCGCGCGAGTCGCGGCTAAGTCTGTTGGGTTACATTAATAGGGTGGTTGACTAGAGTAGAGCGTGAGTGGGCGCGCCGTCTTGAGGAGCGCGTGTGATTCTCCCGTTTGATTAAGCAGCCGGCCTAGTTGGCCGACCTGATTTTTTTTATTATTAGAAATAAAAGGTTTGTTGTTTAGGATGGTTGACCACTGATAGGCCTGACGTACTAGGTGGGGCGCGAGGTAGCCACTACACGATGGGATAAGCCAATGCGGAAGCCTAGTGACGGCATGCTTAGTTGGAAGAAGGAATGAGGGCCTGGCTGTTTTCCTAGGCCTAGGGGCTGCGCAGCACCCATTTATATATGATACCGCGCGCATTGGTTTCAGGCTTGGGCTTAGCCCTATAGGTCATGGTACTGGACTTGCACGACAGAGGTACGGGGATCGACACCGGCAGGGGGCGGCGCTGGAGCGGCGGAGAATTGAAGGCGCTGAGGGGTTGAGGGTCCCGCGAGACTATCCCCCTTAGTTTTGTCGGGGGATCCCTAACGCGGGCCCGTTTGATTCAAGCTTTTATTGAATTTTATATATATATATATATATATATATATATACCTGTCTCTTATACACATCTAGATGTGTATAAGAGACAGATCCCACCAGCTATTAAGTCGTTAGTGGAGAGATGAGTCCATACTGAGTGACAGCACCCTTTGTTGTAGTATAGCTTCAATGGAGACGAGTCCATGCTGAGTGACAGCACCCTGTGTTGTAGTAGGCGGTTTCTGCTGCTGCCCCCTTCACTTTGCTGCACTGGAATTGCATGCCACAACATCTTATTGGGCTTTTTGATTCGGCTGTCGTAGAATTTCATACCCCGGCATCATCGTGGCCATCGATATTGCAAATCAACCGCAATAGCTTCTTTGTGTTTGCTTGCTTCTTGGGCATTTGACCATCCCCTCAATTTAAGTGGGTAGGAGAGGGTTTCCAGGTTTGTGGCCCGGAGCGCGCGTGCGAGGGGAAGAACATATTACAGAAGGTGCAGTCTTGTTCAGGGAAGAGGCAATCTTGGTCTCTGATGAAATGGCGTATACCCTAAAGAACTGAGGGTTGACAGGGTACTGGCTGTTGTTCCAGGAAGTAGCATCTGGTCCATCAGAAATGGCACTCGTGGGTGCAATCGTAACAAGCGAATGCTAGAGAAGCCATGCCGTTGCCTGTTTGCTTCCTTTCTCGCCGGTAACCGGGGGCAGGGAGCGGGTGGGGGTGGCGGGGGGGAGGAGGACGAGGTTATCGAGGAAGAATCTATGCAAACAGGGAGGATGCATCTGGCTCTTCATAGCCACGGGGTAGTTGCGAGCGGGTTAGTATGGCAGCATTCTTTCCTCCCTCTAGGAGCAGCTTTGCTCCAAAGGCCCAGGCATGCAGGTGCGAGGTGCAACAGGGACCACCACGGTGGCCGCTTTTGTATGGTTTCCTCTGCTGGATCTTCAATTGCCATAGACAGGAGAAGCAGTGTCCATCGGTGGTTACGCAATCAGTCTTTTCGATCCTCGAGTGGAGGATGTCTGTTGGGTTTTGAACACTCGACTGGGGCCGCAGCCGTTGCACGTGCAAGATTTGAGTCGTCTGCGGACTGGGACACACTTCTGCCAATTGCAGAGTTGGTCGTGTGCACAGGCGGATCGGTTTCGTCTTTGTCGCCAGAAGATTCCTTGAAAAATGCGACGTGGACAAAACTCATATGTGGAGCCAGTTTCGAGGACGTCGTGGATGTCCGCAACCTTTCACTTGTATATACTTTGGTAGGGGTGGATTGTGTGGACTGTGCTGCAGACCCGGCTGTGGTAAGTGCTGTGAAAGAAGGGGTCGATGCAGCCATGGCGTTGGCTGCCTTGATAGGCAGTAGGAGTGATGGCGGGACAAGTGGGCTACGGTTACGGCGCCCCTGGATCATGGTTAGCATCAACGACCATGAAGATCCACATTTTCGGAAGGCGGAGTTCGATGTGACTCGGTGCCCTAGCGACTGCCAGCGACCATGCGAGCGGGTCTGTCCTGCAGCTGCCATTTGGTTCCCGGACAAATTTCTTTCGGAGGAAGTGCGTATACAGAGCGGGGAGGACACAGAGGCAGCACGGATGGCGCAAAGGTCAGAGCTCACAGCATTGCCTGCCGAGGGCGTTGAAGGTGGCGTTGTTCAAGAAAGGTGTTATGGGTGTGGAAGATGTGTTCCGATCTGCCCGTACGGGCTGATTGATGCGCGCTATCACCTGCGCGATGTGGAACATGTTGGCCAGCTGCTCTCTGCAGGCGAAGTCGACGCTGTTGAAATCCACACGAGGACAGGGTATTCCCCCTCGTTTGTGAACCTGTGGAAGGGCCTGTCTCGACGTGTGGGAGGTCTTCGTCTTGTTGCCGTTAGCGTGCCGGATCTCGGCGAGGAAATGGTTGATACTATGACCGACATGTACAACCTGATGCAGCCTGCAGTCCATGACCGGCTTCTCTGGCAGCTTGATGGGCGGCCCATGAGCGGTGATATTGGTGCCGGGGCAACGATGGCAGCTGTTCAGCTGGGAAAACGCATTCTCAAGTGCAATTCACGCCCCCCAGGGTACTTGCAGTTGGCCGGAGGGACAAATGCACATACGGTTGCCAGTATGAAGGCAGCGGGTATCTGGAACGGTAAGAGCGAGATAGTGGCTATGGCAGAAGTAGACAGCACGGGTAGCATTGCTGGTGTAGCGTACGGGGGATATGCAAGGAAAATAATGAGGGGGGTTTTGAAAGCAGCCCAAGACCGCAAGTGTGAAACGAACAGGGCAGAGGGAATGCCCATGCAACTCAGCCCAGCTGTCTCTTTATCGTCTGGAACAGAAGGCGCAGCAGGAATGGTGGAGGTGTTGGCGTCAAGACAGCCCCCAGCGAGCCAGCGTGATCAGGTTTTCAAACGTCCGAAGGATGGGAACGAGTTAATGGCAGATACAGTTAAGGGTAAAAGTAGTCAGAGGCTGGAAACAAGTCCAGAGCTTCTGCTTGAGGCATTGCGTTTAGCGGCTGCATTGGTCGCACCGCTGAAGGGTTTTCAAATTCCGAAGAAAAGGCTTGTGGATGTGTAAGAAAGCACACCCTTCGCTACGGGTTCATAGACAAACTGTTAATTTTTTTTAATGCTGGGGAAGAGCTGTCCTGAGCTGTTGTCCACCCAGGCAGTTGTGCATGCCTAACGCTTTCTCTGTGCGTTTCACATGCAGGTTGGGACATCGAAGCCAACTCATGGAACGTCAAAAGAGGGCCGGAGAAGCAAGCAAATGGCCAGCGCTTGGCAGATTATTGTTGTGATTGGCTCTCTCAACCTAGGACCAATGTGAAAGCGGAATTTCCTCCTTGGAAGTGAAGCAAAATGCTAGCGGCCTTTCACACTTTGTGAATGAATTATTTGCATGTTTTGTCCTTTTCTTGGTGGAAAAGGGGTATATGCCATTTGGTTTGTCCCGCTCCGTTGGTCAGCTTTTGAGAATAGAGGGTCTTATTATGCCATTTGCGTTGGGTAAGTGGGTTGCAGCCCGTACGACAGAGGAAAGGTGTCCTGATTGCAATACACAGTGAGAAACCATAACCATGAGTACTTCCCAGCTTTAAGTTTATAGATACCAAGAGTATAGGGACGATGGGCTAACTCGGACCTGCTGTTGTGAAATGAAGGAAGACAAAAAAGCTGTTTTTGTGCATGCAGTGCATAATCCTGGGAGATGGAGCAGAATTGGGTTGGAGGGAGGGAGTGTCAGTCAATTAGCATGCACACAGCAAAAATGACGAGTGGTGGATAGCACGGTGGCGCACTCGCGATAATGCGTTGATCACGTCTTGGGTAACCCAAGAGAGTGTCGTTGTTGTGATGTGCATGGTCTCTGGTGTGCTATGTGTTGTTTCCTCTTAGCTTTTCTGTATGCTCTTCAAGGTAAGTACGGTCACTCGTTTTGTGTGTAAAGCTTGGCGACAGTTTTTACTGTGACCGACACGTCCAAATGCATAGCTGCCAGTAGAATTTTCCCCACCTGTGGTTGTCTGTCGGTGATGGAGCACATGCGATGGTGGGCCTCCATTGCAGCAGCTGAACGAGCATATGTCACAATGAACCTAGCCTGGAGAGTACAGTGGCTTTGGCAAGTGAGCGATCTCGTCTTTGGTAACCTGCTGCCCATCGTATGATATGGTCTGAGCGAGCTACCTTTCATGTCTCTGCTGCCTGTGGAGGTGGGGGTTTTCCCTTGCCTTGTTGTACTAATCGGAGGTACCTCCTCTGACAAGTCCCGACTTGGGTCAAGCCGTATGGTTTACGGCGTTAGCTTATCAGTAGTTGGAACAACGACTGGTTTTAGATGATATGGTTGACGTCCATTTTGCTAGTGTGAAGGTAGGCATATTCAGTGCTTGGCTTGGCCATATAGTCAGTGTATTACAGTGGCACAGTGGAGGCACAGTAGTGGCACAGTAGTTAGTGTGTCGTGTGAAACTTGTGTGGGTACGCAATTGATTTGCGATACTCCAACTGCATAGCCAGATGTGACAGGGCATGCAAGAAAGGGAAGGGGGCGGAAAAGGGGGTCGGAAGGAGGGGTATGAGCGATGCTCGAGTGTGTGCATGTGCGTGGGTTCTCCCGCTTAGACATCGGTGAATATTGATACGGTTGGCGTTCATGAATGCGCACTAACTTTGGATTTGCCCTCCACAACGATTGCATGGGTTGTTCATGTAGAAGAAGCCTCCGGCTTTATTGTATTGTTAACGGGAAAAACTGCATTTTGAAGTGTGCAATGGCCGTTTGTACTCGCACAGCATGCTCCGTGGACCGCTTCCACGCCATTGCCCATTGATATTGATGTCCGCCCCGCCGGCAATTAAGCCCCCATGCGTCTGCTAAGTATGTGTGGCCACCCTTCACGTGTTCGGAGGACGACCTGCTGCACACGTGGACAATGACTTAGGCTGATTGCCAGCTGTGATGGACTTCCTGCGTTTGCTCACTCCTTCAAGCTCTGCTATTATCTCAGCCCTTTCCTTCGGCCCCGTCTCCGTCTCCTCTGGTACCACCGTCTTTGCCCAGATGTAACACGCTCTGATTCTGAATGTATACAAGCTCCGTCCTCTGCAGCCAAAACTACCGTCTTCACTCGAAGAGAATGCATGGTCATTATAGCTGTTTCTGGACTCGAAATTGTACCAGATGTGGCCATAATGACTGGGCGTTCTATTTGGGTGAAGATGGCAGGCGTTTGGGAGAAGGTGGTAGGTAACACATCCCACATATTCTGGCAAAATCTTGTCAGAACATGTATCTGGACTCGAAATTGTACCGGATACCTGGGCGTTCTATTTGGGTGAAGCTTCAATGCAATGCTACAGTCCCTTGCACAATGTTTGAGAAATATCTTCGCTGCCATGTCTTGTTGCCCTTATATGAGAGTCCTGTATGAACCCATTGTCGATGAAATGCTTCTTGACGCTCCGTGTATTAGCCTTTGGCATGTTGGGGGAAGGATTGGGTTTTCTGCCCTTCTCCTCTGCCTCTCTTCTCTGGGATTGGGTTTTCTTCCCTTCTCCTCTGCCTCTCTCTTCTCTGGGATTGGGTTTTCTGCCCTTGCAGCTTTTCTTCCCGAGTCACTTGGCCTGATCGGAATTGGTCAAGTCATTCAAAGTGATTAGAGCTCCTTGCTGTATGCACAGAAAGAGCCCCTATAGGCGATGATAAGGAGATCGGCAAATCTTCCCAGAAAAAAACACGACGTATTCTCAGGCAACTCTTATTCGGCGACCCCTGGATCGAAAACGGAAGGGGGGAAAGCAGCCTGTCGCTCACCCAAACAGATGCCAAATGGGGGCACTGGCTGGAAAAAGGGAGTTGCCAAATCCGACGCCTGTGGAATGATACTACGAACATCTGGAAAACTGAAAAGGATAACAACTGGAATAACTGAAAAGGATTTGAGACTAAATCTCAAGGGGAGACGTAACATACAACCCAACCTCGCACACAGTCGTAGAATCTATACTCTGCATGTGGCACATCATGTGTGCACAAGTTGTGCACGTGTACCGCATAGCGCACGCCCACACGTGTGCGTGCACGTGATGTGGCACAATTTTATGAATTAAAAAAAAAAGAAATCAGAAGGGTAGACAGTGTTCACCAAATGCGTGCCTCCCTTTTAAACGTTGTAAGTGCACAGAAACAGTATAATTTGGGGCCACGTGGTAATCGTCATTGGATCTAGCCTCTTTTCCAAAGGCTCCCCTGCAAAGAAGTAGCAGGGATCCCATGCATTTGTTCAAGGACGTCTGTCGAACTGCTGGAGGAACACGGGCAGGCCAGCAATATATTCTGGATTCGGATTCAGCTGTGTGTTCCAAGAGTTATGGGTTATGAACTGACTACGAACACGGCAGTAGCTGTCTCGTTTTTTTTTGTTTTTTTTTTTCCCTCTCTTACGTGCCGTGAACCTAAGAAGGGCCTTGCTCCACTCATCAGCACTTGCACGAAAGAAAAACGTATGGCGTGTATGGTTCCAGTTTCTAGGAGAAAACTCATTCTAGTGTTGCACGTTTGGTGAGTAGTGGAGACCGTGCAGCACCGTGCAGCGCTCACCGCACCTCACGTATGCGCGGCAAGTATGATCTATACCTATGGAATGGAGGCGCTCTACTAAGATCAAAGCAAAAATGGCTGGTGGAAGACTGGGTGGCGCAGCAAAAAACAGACAAGCAGCCAAGAAGTCCTGAAAATTATCAGCAATGAACGTCTAACAAAGAATGGATATGGTGCAGCATCTACCCCTCGAGTACCATATTTTCCAAAACAAAGTTGTGCCGCCGCTGCATGGGGGCCTTTGCTCTTCCTTTCTGATAGTACTAAAAAACCGCAACTCCTAGTAAAAGTGGTATTATTACTCCCAAGTGTTTTGGCTAAAATCGTAGGAAAATGACAATGTAATGTTATATACAATTTCATTTTGTTCGTTGTTTTTTATTCAGATGTTGGCGATAAACGAAATGAAACAAGCCGTTTCTAAAGGACCAGCAAACCCACTGAGCTATCTGCACGAAGAAAGTAGGGCCAAGGGATCTTTCAAAATCAGCAACCACGGAAGAATCAGAGTCCTGGAAGGAGAGACTACTACCGGAGTTTACAACCGGGAACAGACATCCAACACATGGAAATCGACCCCGCAAAATGGTCTCAGAGCATCTCTAACAACACCACAGCTGCGACACGAAGACACAAATTTACAGACTACACGACAAAACTAGGCTATAAACTATTTTCTACACCTATGTCATCCACTACAATCGTCCGAAAAAATGGCAAAAAGGTCATCAGTGTTCTGCGCAAAACTGGTGAAATCGGCAGCACTCTCAACATTCAGAGCAATCCTAGTAAATGACCAGCAGGGCTAGTGCAAAGAAGAAAAAAGGAAGACAGAGAAGAGGAAAGGCGTCATGGTGTTAAGTGTGTAATACTGAAGCTAAAGAAACACTCATCCGTTGCTTCTTAGAATGTGAGAAAATGCGAACCCTCTGGTACGAGATGGAGAGCATCTGGAACGAACACTCTAGCAAGGCAGTACAAACAAACCCAGGCACCATATTCCTCGACGGAGAACAACCCCCCCCCGCCCAGCCTTCCCTTTCAAGGTTGTGACTTATTTCTTTGCTCACAAATAAGAAAGGCGATACTATGGGCCATCTGGAAGAGGAGACGTGAACAAACCTTCGAGGACTGCTACATCAATGCTGGAAAACCCCCTCGTTGCCATTAAACAACTCGTATTAACGGAATTACACGGCCTGCGGAAGAAAGCTATGACCCGAGTTGAAAATAACCCAGATAAGAAATCAGATCGAAAGATTCACTGCATTCAAGCTAGGAGGCAACCTAGGCACAATGGTATAAAATGGGCTGGTCATAAAAAACTGCCTAACAATTTCAGCCCAGTACAACCAAAGAGTGAGGAACACCACTACAGATCCTCAGATCACCACGACGTCAAAAAAAAAACATTAGATCACGCGATGGACCAATGATAACATCTAGATCGTAGAAGACTGCAAATCAGAAGAATCCACAAAAGGTCAAGCCCCAAAAGGAGAATAGAACTCAAGACTGCATAGTGCATTAACGACAGACTAAGCGCCAAAACTTACCCAACCCCACATCCCTCTTTCAATATCGATAGTTTTAAGTTCTAACCATCCACCAACATCACAGTCTCCAGCGCGAGTAACACTACCGCACCAACACCGAATCAAAACCAATCCGCCAGCCAGTGTACCACCCAGCCCACTCGGCTTCCCCACCTCACCATCTACCTCCCCCTCTAAAACCCTTAAAAACCTCCGTCCCGCCAATCGCACTCCTGTCAAATCCCACTAACCCCATATCGAGTACCATCGCATCTACAGCCAGTAATTCCGACACCAGAATGTATTAAGGGCAAAAGAGACCACATCGGTTATAGCGTGGGCTAGAAATCTACAAGCCGCTACCATTCCATTTTTTCCAAAACCAGTGAAAAAGCGCACAGGGTATGAAAAAGTATCAGGTGCTACCTTTTTCCCCTGCATACGAAGTACGGTTATTATAATCACTGAATTTGATGTATCTTCCGGTCTGAATTCACCTAGAATCACCGTACGTTGTGTCCGGGGGAAGACTGTAGTTCCTTCCATCGGAGCCATAGCGTAAGCAAGTCTTTTTAGGGTTATTGTCACTGTCTATGGACGCAAACCCAGGTGATTTAACCATGGCCATTAGGCGAAGAACGCAGATAGAATAGGTTTATGTCACAGTAACTGCACAGTCAGATCCTTAGGGTTTAGGGTTTTAGAAAGACCGGCAGTATTAGCCCTGCCGAACAACTCCAGTACTCGTTGCAAAAACCGACAGCCAAAAAGCTGTGAGAGGAACAAGTCGGGCTAGGCTGCCAACTTTAGAAAAAGTCTCTATATCTCAGCAATTTTTTGTTTATATGTTGTACCCAACTCACTCTTTATGTGGTTGTTTGAATCAACTAACTTAGATTCATTGGCTTCAGTCAATGAATAACTGTCTTGACGCCAGCTTTGTATGGGCAGACAATAGTAAACTGGCAGAAGTCTTAGCAGTCAAAGTAGGGCCCGACTCCGAAACCTAAGACAGATAGGCTAACTTAGGCAAGCAGGGGTGAGGGGTGGTACATCCTTCGAAAATGGAAGTAATCAATGCTGTCCACTCAGGCCTCTCAACCATAATGGGAAGGAGCGTGTGTGAGTATCTGTTGTAACTTGTGACTCGTTTTGACTTGCCCGTGGAATAGGAACCGGACTGATGTGCCCCAGAATGGAAT